CATCAGCATCAGCATCAGCATCGACTTCTTGGGTTCGTTGATCCAGCCGAGGGCGTCGCAATGTAAGAGTCCCAGCTAGTCATGGAGCGAAATAACTAAATAACATGCATGGCTCAAGAGCTCTTAGGCGATTGGGCAATAAAACTCATTTCGCAGATAGACTGCAGTCAATTGTCATAACAAAGCGCCTCGCTGAAACACTGGGAGACAGCAGCAGCTGTCGATGGCAAATATTTGCGCTGTCCGACAGCATGTGGCCCATGGGTGCATGGTCCATATTCGGAGCCGCAGTTAGAGCAGCGGACAGACAGACACACAGACACACAGATAGACAGCCAGAAGCAGGCGGAACGCAGGTCACAGTTTGAACCCGTTCGTTCACTGAAAACCAATTGAGACGAGCCACAGCGAACGGAAAAACTGAAGCCAGAAAATTGCAGTTTTTATGGTTGTCATAAACAGCGGCATCGCGCGGTTGAGACTTTCACTTTTCTATCAGGAGAACAAAAGCAGCAATGAAGCCGACGCTGATGTCGATGTCGACGTCGGTGTCGTGGTTCCTGGAACGTTGGACATGCTTCATTTTTTGTAGAAAAATTCTCGGTTTTCCTCTTTTGGATAATTGTATTTGGAGCGTCGCAGACACGCAGAACCCTTTCCCAGCTGAGCACGACGGCGAAGTTCTACTTCCACAGCGGGTGCCGAAAAAAAAAACAACCTTAGGCAGAGGCGAAGAATGAGTACCAATTGTACGTATCGATACCTTCCTCTCTGATCCTGAGCCTGATCAGCTGTACGCATATGCTTACATATATGTACACATATGAGATTAATTATCGTGGGAAGAGAAAGAACGGCGCAGTAATTGAATCTCGTAGTTTATTGGCATCTCCCAATACTTCTTCGGCTCATCACTCGTCGGAATTCCAAATACTATCCGCAGTCGTGACCCCCATTTCGATAGCAACGTTCATAAATATGTCTGAACAAGAGTGAATTCAACAAATCAACGCCGAAGAAGGCAGCGATTCGGAAACTTTTTCTCTGGCTGCTAATCTTCTGAAAACGGAAAATATTAATGAGAAAAAGTTTGGCGGCCTGGGGCGATGCCGTTTGAAGAGCTTTTATGTTGTTCCCATCGGTCTCGAGCTCGATACGAAAATGGCCCCGTCTCATTATGAAAATGTAACCAATTCGGAGGCCAGATACTGACGTGAAGCAAAGCAATATATATAGATGAAGCAGGAGCACCAGAAGGAGGTTCTGTAATTTTTGCAATTGCTGGAGTAATATGGGATAAGTGCTGCTTGTAGATGGACTTGATGAGAATTTATGCACACGAGCATAGTCCATTGGGGATACTCTGCAGTTGACTAATAAGCAGACTAGTGCCGACAACACAACTGAAAAGCCTGTCTAAAATATGCAGACGCGTATGTGAAAAAAATGATGACGTCGTTGGACGCCACTGGAGTGGAGTGGGTGGCATGTAGACGAATGCTGGGGGAAGCCCGGGCTGGTCAATGGGTGAATTTACTGAATTTACGGGCGTGCTGGCTAAGCGAGCGAGTGGTAAACAAGCAAATAGACAAACAAGCAGGGATAACGGCGAGGGCTACTGCGAGGGCAGAGCAAATTCGGGAACGGGTGAACGGCTGAAGAGCTGAAAGAGTCGGAGAGGAGGGCATTCCACACGACCTATAAAAGTAACACAAGCATGTTGAGAGTATCATTTGGAGGGGGTGTGATAAGTGTGGCCATCGCAGCGCGCTGCGTCGCGGAGACGTAATCCAATAACCGTGGAGTAATGGAGCGCACATCAGGGCGAGTACAGGGACATGAGTACATGTGCGCAAAACTGGGCCCAATGGGATATGAATGCATCAGCGAGGACGCACTCGGCCCTGCCCTGCCCTG